ACACTTATGTTTTTCCTTACATTTCCTCTTAGTTATGCGAAGGATGCGCACCTGTATAAATAGGGGTTACCACCCATCTCGCTTAAGAGAATTAAGGACAAGAACTACTACCAATCTACCTTCATACAAAACTCCTTCTCGCTTAGCGCACCCGCAGTATACTCCTTCTACTGTGTTGTATTTTCGTACAAAGTTATTAAGATAGTGCCATACCGTACACATTTGAACATCATTCACCTCTCTGGGATGTGATAGTTTATGCTCCTCTCTAAAACCTGGTATATGATAAACATTGCTTACTTGCAACCTACTTATTGAGTTGTTTATTTATATCGGATTGCTTTCTGATCATCATGCTACTGCTTCAAATGTGGTATAGCATGAAAACTCTAGTATCCAATTGTTACTTGGTTTCGAAATTTTTAAACATCCTAGATCTGAACCACCCCCCCCTCCTCCTTGTTTCAGACTCTTTTCAGATTTGAAATTTGAAAACAGGATTTCCAGATTTTAGTGCAAAATTTGCCAAGATACCTTCTAAATTGCTTCCAGATTCCTACGGGAAGTCCTCCAGTACTCGTGTTTCTAAGCCAAAAATGGGCACCTGATTGAGAATAGGCCATATGCTCCCAAAAGTAGTAAAGTGTTCATGCTATTTGAAAGACAGTGAGAGTGACACAAGATGCCAGTAACTGGTAGGGTAATATCAATGTACAATAAAACTACTGTACTATAAAAGTTCTTAAAATTCCATAAACAAGACCAGTTCCCATCCAATGTAAGTGCTTTCACTCAATTGCGCCAAATTCAGAAATTGATACTATGAACAGTTCTATGACGAAGGGAAAGAGCGTTATCATGGCTACGTGTGGTGCCATTATTGCTTTCCACAAGTCTGAGCCTGTGGAGGTGATAACAGGTTCAATGCCTAATAGGACAGTTCCCTACTGGGAGGGGGGGATGGGGGAGGGGAGATTGGTGAATTCACAGTATTTATTTCCACTGCTTAGTGGTGTCTTAACTTCTTCTGAAAGCAGCATCAAGACTTTACCATAAATGGATCTGGGGAGGCTATTCTAAAAGAGGTGCCCATTCTTGGCTCGGAGACACGAGTACTCGTATACCACTGTAAAGCCCCCGGGAAGCTAACCAAACGCCCACCCACTCACCTACTACCCTCCCAGTTCCCGTACTCGAGTACGGCACTAGTACACCTAAATCCTTAGTCACATTCCACGCCATAGCTAGTAGTTAGTACGAATAAATGATTTGATCACCGGACGTACGAGTACAACGGTCAAGCGATGTAAACCCATCGATTCCAATGGCCAATCAGCCCACCCGTGCTTAAGTAAATTACCGGCCAGCAAGGAAAACTAGGATAACCATTGACACAAGGAGAATGTAGAAGGCTTCACGGACGTCTAATACTTGATGTACTGGATGGGTATGCTGAAGAGGGGGGGGAGTTCCTTTTCTGACGGGGGAGGAAGAGGATCAGGTGGCCTGATTTTGCGAGTGGACTCTGCGTTTCCGTTAAAGATATGGTCACCGTTCTAGAGGAGGAGGAGGAGGAGGAGGAAGGAGTTAGTTGGGGGGTCTCGGCTAGGGTATTTGGGATTCTTGCACAGTATGGCGCTTGTACTTGTACCGCACCCATGAGTATCTATAAAATAATAACATCATAAAAATGAATCATTCCCACACCGATCCCATGGGTAATATTTTTTTTTTCGATTTCCACCAACTCCCCCCGAGTGCTCGGGATGCCGAGCTCGCGGTGCACCTGTACGGACTGTACGAGTAGCGCAACAACTCTTGAAATTCGCTGCCAGATAGTCAGCAGGAATCAGCCCGGCTAGTCAATAACAGGATTAGTCTGACAGCTCGACGGAATTGCGAATACCGGTGAATTTGACGCAGGCACATCGAGTGGGCTGATCCCATACCGTGATACCGTAACCACTCTGGAGATAGAGACCGTTGCCAAGAGGATGGCAGTCAATAATATACCACTTTCGGTGCCGATTTGGATCACCTGGACAGACAACTCAGCTCTCTAGCCAATTAGCAAGTGAAAGCAGGTTTAATTTCCCGTCCGCTTTGATGTTTTTCGTCTTTTTCTTCCGTATATAGTATAGTTCAAGGCTAATTTTACCCACCTTCCCCTTGGCAACGGTCTCTATCTCCAGAGTGGTTACGGTAGGGAAATGGTGACCCTTCTCAGGAGCTTTTGACCCAGGTTATAGGGGTGCTGGAGGGGAAGTGCCTTGTAGAAATAATTCTGTGGGGGGCGGTCGTGGAGGGCTCTGTTCTTGTTAGGACGGCCTTAAGTTCCCTACTGGGATTCAAAACCGACGCACCACCAACTGCCATGTGAGTAAGGCATGGGCATCATATCATTGTGACAATAGGGAGGTTTGAAGTTCGCGACCCTCCCAACGTTCCAGCGCACTAATACTTTTCGGCCGCGGTTCTCAAGTTGTCGACCAAGGCGCATCCCCGGGACACAATACCGGTAAGCACCGACTTGAGGAGGAAATGGACACTGCAAACCTCTCTTTTTGTGAAGAACGCGCCCCTTGTGGTGGTGATTGTACTCGGGTACCGAGAACCCTGAGCACCCCCCAATTCCGTACAAGTACCATTCGGCTCCTGCTCCAGCCTTGTGGCGTTCGAGCAGTATTTCAATGATATAATAGCTACAAGCGGAATCAGGAACGCTCGTACTATTTCGTGCACCGATGGCGTTTGGCTCATTCTCGTACAAGTCCTGACTAACGCGTGCTAGGGGGTATTACAGAAGAGGAAGGAGGGTGGAGGGTTTACGGGGACGAGTGGTGTACCGTACGGTACAGCACCGGTGGCACAGAAGGTGAACACATACAGTCCCATGTCGACAATCAGCAGGGAGAATTCCATCAAAATTTAATGGCTTTGAATTCCCTGGAGCTGAACAAAGCGTGCTGTGCCACAGAGCAAGCACGTCAAGCGCCGTAAGCACTCACCGAACTTCCATATCCAATACCCGAGTACCGTATACGGTAGGGAGGCTCGAAACCCTTGACACAAGGGCCGGGTACTGGTACTCGTACGTGGTGCAAACTCTCCAAGACGACAAGCACCTCCTCCACACCCAGTCACTCGAAATGCTATCCCACCCCACCCCCCCTGCCTATTCTAAGCCATCCGGGGTGCTGGCGCCTTATTCGTATGATACCTTCCCTGCTTGCTTGCCTGTCCTGGCCCACCAGATTAATAACTAATAACTTCAACATCGCGTAACCCCCGCCTTTGGATATCGCAACGGTAACCGAGATACGAACACTGACCCTGGCCCCAACGACCCGGATGGACTTTTTCATAACGGCTCGACGGTAGGTTTGGCTTCACCTTCACATGGCGTACCGGTTATTGCGATACAAGCTTTGACCTCACGGTATAATCCGGCGAAGGGGGGGGGGTTGATTGGCTGCAGTTGTGTTGCGACATTGAGGAACTTGGGATTGGGTTGGGTACCGGTACAAGTAGGATCGGCTGCGGATGGGGGCAGCAGGGCGACGGGCCCGGGCACCGAGATTCGTGTTAGGGCAATGGAGAATAGCTGTACTGGTACTCGTACAGTGCCGTACATGTACTACTACCTTTTAGTCGCTGTACCCGATGATTATTTATGTGAGGAAGAGTGATGCAAGGAGGTCAAACGAAATTGCCGTTGCCGATAAGTCATGATTGTTTGTGTTGTGCTAGTACTGTACTGGTACAGTACTTGCATGGATACTTGTACTGTACTCGAGTACGGGTGCACAATGGGAGAGGGAGAGCGGGTGTGTGATACCTGTACGAAAGTGGGAAACTTTGGGCAGAAAAAGTGATGGTGTTTCGCGCGGGCGGCTGCGGTTGAGACATGTCAGATCGTCTGCACAGGATGCTTTGCGTGGGACGCCTGGGTGCAGAAATGGGACAACCTTTTTCGCCAGTCCTCGTGTGGAAGGAAGGGTGAATCTACTTTGTGCTACGAGTATGGCACTCTACAGGTGTCTGCAATGCATGCCGGCAACAACAACAGGCTCCCAGATTGGCTGGATCTGCAATGGCAATGATGGTAAAGTGATCTCCTGTGATTGATGCATCACCGCCCAGTGTACTAGTACTCGAGCACTTTGTCTTTTTTTATTATTGTTTTTACTTCCGCAGTGAGTGGGAGGGAAGCTAAAGCCTAAAAGGAAGCTAAAAGCCTTGGGGTGGGATAGTCAAAACAAAGAAGGAGAAACAGAGGGTCCTGGAGTACGGGTTTAATTTCACATTCCCGATGTTTGGCTCCCGTCTGGTCTCTTCTGGATGTCGAATCCCCCCCCATCCCTTCCCTTCTTCTCGGCCCGCTGTGCCGTACGATACCGTACGATACCGTACTTGTAGCAATTCTAAGGTGAAGGTTTAGACAGTCTTCCCCCGGCCGGGACAATTGTATGATGTTTTTATTTTGTTCGCACTCGACCCCCCACGGCAGGCTTGAGCAACTCCGCAGCGCGCCACTATCCCTCGGTTGAATTTCCTGCCATGTCTTGCTTGCCTGGCTCGCTCGTCCATTCTGTTCTGTTCTGGGCACAAGTACTTTCTGTGTTCCTTCCTCCTTGTTTTTCCTTTTTCTTTTTCCCTTCGTCTTTCCTTTCCTTCTTCCCTCCCTCCCTCCCTTCTCCCTTCCCCCTTCCCCCTTCCCTCTTCCTTCCTCTCCTTCCTCCTCCACCCTCCGTTCCCCTCGACCAACATCAACAATTACCTTCTCTTTCCCTTCCCCTACCCTACTCCTCACACTCTTTTGGTTTTCTCCTTCTTCCTGTTCGCTCTTTTACAGGCAGATAAGGAGAAACGTAGTTTCGATAACGGATAGAAAGGGAGTCAATACAATATTATTTAATCCAAAGTCATTCTTTTTCATCACGTCCAGTCGCTTCGGTCGTCATATAACCCCTTGTTTGTTGCACCTCCCCTCCACTCCCCTTATATCACTTTTGGTTCAAGTCTTGGTCCTGGGCATTGATTGATAAACCTGACCCCCCCCACCCCTTTTCTACTCTCTTGTTATTGCGAGTGATCGAGGGATTTTTTTCCCTACAACCCATTTTGCATTCCTTGCCATCTACCCCCTTCCTTTCCCTTTCCCCTCCTTCTTCTCCTCCACCCCTTGCAAGGGCCCTGTTCTTTCGTTATCACCGCTCTGGCTTACAACCACTCTCGTTTTTCATTATTTTCTAATTTTTTGATAGGGGATCCTTATTTCAGTTTTTCATTTTTGAAGGTTCCAACCTTTTGTTTTCTTTAAGGAGGAAACACGGCAGATCAATTTCTCGCCAAGGACCCCAGCATCCGACGACATGGTTAGACTTTTGGACACCGCTCTTGTGGCCGCCGCCGTGTTGGGAACTGCCTCATTCGCTCAGAAGATTGTCCCCGATTGTGGCGTTGGACTGGGGAATTGTCCCAGTAACAAGCCCTGTTGCTCGCGTATGTCGCCTTTCCCCATTTTGTCTCCCCGGTTTGCCGTTGAAATCCTTTTTCATAGCTTTGCTTCTGAAAGGAGTGTTCACGGGGTTTTTCTTTTGGGCTAACGTTTTCGCTTATCACAGAATACGGCGTTTGCGGTGTTGGGGCTTACTGCCTCGGCGGTTGCGATCCTAAGCACTCCAACTCTCTCGAATCTTGCGTTCCTGCTCCTATCTGCAAGGACATTGATAGCACTTTCCCCAACCTCGACAGGATCGTCGACAAGACGAAATATCTCGGTGATTCTAGTAAGGCCGATTGGGTCTCTGATGGTGAGCCATTGATCAAGGATGGTAACCTTCTTATCACTATGGCGCCAGGCACCGTCGGCACCGTATTGGCGAGCGCAAATTACGTATGGTACGGGAAGATCTCGGCGACATTGAAGACTAGCTATGGAAAGGGCGTTGTTTCTGCATTCATCTTGCTGAGCGACGTGAAGGATGAGATAGATTATGAGTGGGTGGGAGTTGACTTGCACACCACCCAGACCAATTGGTACTTCCAGGGCATTCCAAATTGTAAGACTCGACACGGATCCCTGTATATATCTTTTATATATAGGTTGCATTTGAACCACCGGTTCCCGATTAGCTAACGCGTCCCGCTTAAGACACCCACGGTGGCAACATCACTTTGGATAAGGACACTTATAAGGAGTTTGTCACCTACGAGGTTGACTGGAAGCCCGATTCCATCACCTGGTCCGTCGACGGTCAGGTTGGTCGCGTGCTCAAGAAATCCGACACCTGGAACGAGACGGCCAAGGGATATGACTACCCATCGACACCCTCTCGCGTGCAGCTCTCTCTCTGGCCCGGTGGTCTCCCCACCAACGCCAAAGGAACCATCGACTGGGCTGGTGGTGAGATTGACTGGAAAGCAGCTGATTCTAAGGATGTTGGATACTACTATGTTACTTTCAAGGAGGTCAAGATCGACTGCTACGACCCCCCAAGCGGTGCTAAGAGGCAGGGCTCCGGATCCAAGTCTTATATCTATGATGATCGCGCTGGTTTCGAGTCCAATGTCGTTATGACCGACAAGGGTACCGTCCTGAAGTCTTTCCTTGGAACTGGAACAAACATGACTGTCGAACCCGCCAAGACCACCTCCAAAGGGTCCTCCGCAACGGGAAACTCTTCACCATCATCCTCCGACGTCGAGACCATCCCTGGCCTTACCGGCGCGGGTACTGGTGTCAATGGCCAGCGTGGTGAGGGCTCCGACTCAGGTTCTGGTGACTCCGGCTCCGGCGGTTCATCGAGCGGCTCTGGGGGCTCTGGCAGCGGAGGTGGGAGCGGATTCTCTCAGGGTGGCACCCAGTCTAGCAACCAGAGTGAGGCCACTGGACAGAAGGTCGTCAAGGGTAGCATGCTCGCGGTAGTAGTGGCCGTCGTCGCGGTCATCGTCTTGTAGGAAAGGAAACGAAATGAAATCGAAGAGAATTTCCTTTTGCCCTGCTTTCCCTTTTTTGCGTTTTGATTTTCTCGCCTCTACATTACAAACCGACTTGCTAACTGAAAAATGAACTACGTGACGGGTCTCCTTGGGTTTTTCTGTTTTTAACATTGTCGGTGTGTCTTGGGGTGAATGGGTGCTTTTTGCCTTGTGCTTGGTTGCTCTGGTGGTGTGTTGGGGAAACGGCGGGTCGTTGCGTTGGTGGTGCATATATGTATACACCATATCCTGTCCAGTAAATTAGTTCCCTTATTTTTGTCGGCTTTTTCCTCATTCCCTCCCTCAACTTGATCCCTGCAAAAAAAATCACCTGACCATAGTCGGCGGGATGTCCTTCCTTTTTTATATATCTAAACTTTCGATGTCTATTTTTTTACTTATTTTTTTTATTAGTATGTATATGTCAGTCGGTGCGATTGTAGGAGGGTGGTAATGAGGGGGATGAGAGTGGGGGGGGGGGTGATGTGAATTGTGATTTGCATTGCAGCTTTAGTGAATTGAGAAGCGGTTCCTGTTGGAGAGTCAGCGTGATTGGCATTGGTAGAGGGAGATAGAGAGTCCTCGGGTAACAACTCCACAAGAACATCAAGCCCCTTTCCCGTTGATACTGGTATGCGGGGTGCACCAGACCCGATAACTTATGAATAAATGGATGCGTTCCAACCACTCTGTGCTGGAAACACCCACAATTATCCCATTGCAGTACCGGTACTCGAGTATTCGTGGATTGCCCCTACCACTTGATCCACCAATCCAATCCATCCCCCGAGTATCGCATCGCCATTTCATTGGCCATGACGCAACCTGCTGCAACTCCTCCCATCGCAATTCATGACGTGTGGTCTTTAATGAGTCAGAATGTGTGTACTCGAGTAGATGGGTATTTGCGACCAATTCCAAGGTCGGTGGCCACCCTAGCCTCTGGTGGGGGTGGGGGTATGCTTGGTCGAGCTGAGGATTGGGGAAGGGAGGAGGCAGGGGGCGGCGATTCGAAAGAAATTTCCCGCGTTTCCGCCCCCGTCGACGACGGTACCTGTAACGATCCGGGGTCCGATCACTGTACCATAAGTAACGTAACCTGCATGGTAACCGGATATCACCAAGAAACCAGATATCTCAAATGATGAGTTAGCTCAGTGAGATACCCTATTGTTAAACTATTATAAGTTATATTCTGAGAAAGTAAACAATGGGTAACATCTCCTTGTACAACAAAACAAGTGCCCCCAAAAAAGTGAGTGGGCACAAGCCTTGGTGCTCCCCCAAAAACACTGTTAGGATTATGAAAACGAAATGCTACACCAAAACCAACTTATGGCAAAAGCCAAAACTTAAACAAGTGAAATAATAGCTTTTGATGCATAAATCACCACCCAGAATGACCCCCATGTCAACAAATAACTCGAAGTACGTGTATCCGCATGAAGTCAATGAACCTATCCACCTTTCCCTGAACAATTGTATCCCATTCCTCTTGTGCTGCCTGTACTAGTCCTATGATTCCTTTAGGTCGAAGTTGAGGAGTACAGAATCGGATTTTGAGTTGTTGTTTGAGTGTTTGTCAAACATTCTCAATAGGATTCAGATCTGGACTGTAGCCTGGCCAGTCTGAAACTACAACACCATTGCATAACTTAAATTGACGGCTGTAAGCAGCCTGACATGTATGGACCTTGGAGCCATCCTCAACTAGTAAAAAAACCTTCCTCCGATCCTCCTACATCTCTCTACAAAGGTAGGAAGCCAGGTCTCAAGACCTCTTTGCAGTAGTGCTCTGAAGCCATACCGCTAGGGTCATTCTGTCGCCAATACTCTGCTGGAGGTCTTTGCCGAACATGGACCAGCTGGCTTTGCCGACTATGTGCTATTCTGGTCTAAAATATTATAGATTGTCACAAACTGTGACTAAGCAAGGCAGATTTTACATAGCCTGGAATTCCAAGCTATAGGTATGTTGGGATTTCACATGACGCACACTAGTGTGCCATAGGTTATTATGTTTACCTGTTCATGACTCACAGTTGTGAGTCACACGATGTTATGATTTTCGCACATGACTCAATTTATGAGTCATGGGTTTCACTCAGGTGACGCAAGTTGCGTACCTGACTTGGTTATTATGATTTGATTGGTTTTAGGTATGTTGCTGTAATGGGCGGGGTCTGAGGGTCGGGTAGCCCAAGGCACACCACAATCAGGACAGGCAGGATTCTGGGGATGAGGTCTAGGTGCGGGGGTATAACCGAAGCGAGTTGTACGAGGCTCAGGATCCAGGAGTTCAGGATCAGGGTTCAGGGGTTCAAGAGGATGCCAGAGGGTAGAGAGTGTAATTCCTAGGTACAGGTGTCCGAATAATATCTAAGTTTATTTATACTCGTCACGCCAAAACATGGCTTATGATCAAGCGCCCCACCTACAGGAGCTTAATGCGGGCCAGGATCCACCGCTGGGACTGGGGCCCTGCTACCCCCGCTAAAAAACAGGCAACTAAATACAAGATACCGATCCTCCATTCCCGTACTATTAACCACTCTGGTGAGCGAGCACCAACCTCAAAGCTAATGTACAAGTCCATCAACAGTTCAGCACCCATCCGCTCCACCTAGCCAGGCCATAGAAATCCCAGCACAATTAATAAATCACTACCACTGGCAGCATTGCTCTGGCCTCACGCCTCAACCCTCATTATATCATAATCAGAATATCTACCAACATCAACCCCACCCAGCATCCAAGAAAGTGTTCCAGCACTGTCCTCGGAAAGGGCCATGACAGAGGAGCGGTACAAAGCCAGTTTCCCCTAAGCGATCAATCGAGGCAAGCCTAACAGCCATACTCCTTGTACTGTAATAGCCAACCCGAGACACACCTAGGGCATTATTGTTATAGGTATCCCAACCTATGTCAAGCCATCCATATCCACCTCTTCTTCATGTTCCTCTGAGACCTCAGATTCTTGGATATCTGGATGGGGACGAGAAGGGCAGACAGGCGAGTTGGATTTGTGCGGGCCATTACAGTTCATACACCTGGGTGTGGTATGGCTGCAGGGACGGCCATGAAGACGCCAGGTAGCTGTGAGGCAGGAGTGATTCCCAGTTGAGTGAGGGAGGAGACACCAGCAGCGGGAGGAAGCCAGGATGCATTTGATGCTATGGTGGCCAAACTTGTGACAGTTGGCACACTGAGTATATTTGTTGAAGCATAGATGGCATTGGTACGGTAGATGTTGGAGAAGGCAGAAAGGTGTTTGCCAACAAAGAAAGGAGCCTTGGGTCCAGTGATGGAAATAACAACGGTAGAGGCGAGTTTGCCAACACATACTAAATCAGAGGTAAGCCACTGAGGCTGTTCAGTAAGAGATAAGCCTGAGTTAAAGGTGGTGAGTTCTTGGGCAAGCGATGCCAGAGAGGTAGAGGTAGCAATGCCATACACTAGAAGTTGGGTGGCGGGAGTGTCGAGGTGGACAGTAGAAGCACCATGAATGAGGTGCAGGAATGAGCCAACTCTGCTGTTAACAGCTGTGGCCCTGACCATGTCCATAGTGGTGAGAGTAACATGCCCATCCCAAAAGGAGGCAGACTGAATCAAAGTAGAGGCCAAAGTCTGGTTGATGCTGTCGCGTAGCTGTACAGCAGTAGAAGTAAGGGGGCTAGTGTCGCGTTTGATGATGAGCCGACGTTCACGTATGGTGAGGCCCTTTTTCTTTTCGGTTAGGGGCTTAGCTGAAGTGGAGGAGGGTTTGGCTGGCTTCAGGCCAGGCTTTGTTGGTTTCTAGGAGGACTTCCTTGCCCTCCTAGCAACGGTAGCCTATAAGCGGGGAGCTGTCTGGCCTGGAGGTTGGGTGTGGGGAAGGGTAGAGGGTAGGGGAAGAACAGAGGGTTGCTCTGTAGTGTTGGTAGTAGGAGGTGCCGGCGGGGCAGTGGTGGAAGCAGGCTGAGATAGAGTGGAGGCGTGGAGGGCATTCAACTCCTCAGTAAGGGCGGTGATGTGCTCGGGTAGCCCATTGGTCACCTTCCCGTAGTCTTCATGCAAAATTTGTATCATGTGGATCATAATGGGAAAGGCTTTTGCAAAACTGAATGGCGCTTCAGTCTTCTGTGCCTCTGCCAACTGCTCAAACATTTGCATGAAGGCGCCGTTAGGAGTATCAAAGTCATCGTCTGAGTATCGTATGGTTATGGTGGTGCCACTTCGTGGGCGTTTAAGCGAGGGGGGGCCCCGCGGCCGAAAGATAGGTGAGGGCCGAACCTGCGAAGCCCCATGGGGCTGTGTAGGAGGTTGCGGAACGAGAGGGAGTGATGACCCCACAATGGAGATGATGAGGAGCAACCTTGACCCTGGTTGGGCCAAAGAAAGGTATCGTGGTAGATAAGATAATTCCCTGGAACGTAAGCAAAGGTGTCTGAATTATATCTAAGGTTATTTATCCTAGTCACACCAAAAATGGCTTATGATCTAGCTAATATCCCTCACAACCCATCAATCATAACAAAATCACAACCGTGTTAAAACACCCCGCAACCCTCCACCCAAACATAAATGCAAAAATTACTACCAACAGGCTCACGGGTACTCGTGCTGTAACTGACATCCCGGATTAACGCGTCTTCCTCTCTCGCAATCCTATCTACTACTCACACCACTATCAGCAATTAGACTTTCCACATACTCAACAAATGAAATCTCCAATCTGTCCCAACCACGTCGAGTGTTCCTCCAATGACCAGTAATATCAACAAATATGCCACGACAAGAAAAACATTGGGGCACAATTGAGGGGATCTTCTGGCGAAACTGGTACAGGATGCCTTTCTTCAGTATCATGAGCTCAGGGGGCTCCAGGTGTTTTCGGGCCCCGCTCAGAGGTCAAACAGCTACCCTGGTCCATCCTCGGTGCAGAATCGAACTGCATACGCACAGTCCCCAGACACAGGAGTCCTGTGAGGGTCAACATCCACCCAGTGGTCTCTTATCATATCCGGTGCACAATCATTAGCCTCCGGGGATAACCTTTGGGACTCACCTTATAAGTCTTCCTCTTGGCTAAGGACAGGGTCGCAGGATAACATGCCATGCAACAAGGGGTTTCCCTCCCATGAACCACACCTAATACCACTGGCTGGCTCCAGCTCCTTCCCTCCCAGCAATAGAGGACGACTGTAATTCAGGATCGATTATAAACCTTGAGTGGCTAGCCCTCCGTGGTACCTTTGTACGCAACAGCCAGGCTGGTGGGTAGACTAAGGATCTTTCCTAGATACGGTAATGGTCAATGCCACCCAGGGGGGGTGTACCTCCCATTGGCCCTGGGCAACGGCGGGTATCGATGACAATCATTGTCTTTGCTCCTTGCGCCCCTTCTGGATGAACCAGACAAGATGTTTCATACACACCCTCAGCCACCATGGCTGAAGTAAGTGCGAACACTCACTCTCGCCGCAGTGGAATCCAGAGCTGGGGGAACACAGTCACCCCTACAGGGCATATCGTGTATAAACTGGGACCGGCACGCGCATC